ATATCTTAATATTCTCTTTTTGGTCTATAAATGTTTAATTTTTCTGCTATGTATCTTATTTGTTTATTCATTTAATTGGTAACACTTTACAATAAAGTTCAATTTCTTAACATCAATTAACTACTTTAGTTAACATGAACTAACAATGAAAATCACTTTTAAAGAATTGATTTAATCTTAATGTCATTTTCAGCATTTACTTATGCATTATTAAAATCAAAAGCTATATCTGTTAATATTATTTAATGGACCTAACATGAACTAACAATGAACAGTTGTATTTTTATGAACTAATGATAACAAAGATGAATAAATACAGTAACAAATGAATTGTACATTGCAAATGAATGCATTAACTACTGATAACTACTGGGACATTATTGTAAAGTGTTACCAATTTATTTTATATTCTCACGATTTCTAATATTATTACTTACAAATTGTAGTCCGTTATTGATTCCAAATTGCATGCCAAAAATTGTAGTTAGTAATGTAATCCATTACATTACATATAATCAGACTATCTTTTTATTACTTTTAGATTTCCTTTGACCTAACTCATTTATCACATTGATTTAAATAGGATAATCTTCTTCCATATTGATATAAAAATACGAAGAGGTAGAAAATATATTCCATTCGTAGTTATTAACGGCATGAAGTGCATTAAACATTACATTACATCAAGGTTTCCCAAACTGGGGGTTGGAAATGAATGACAGGGCATTTGTGAGTTTAATGAAAAGCTAAAAAAAAAATCATAAAAAAATAAAATTAAAATGAATCATTTAAAAATAATTTTAAAATCAAATCAAATATATATTTTTAGTTTCTATTTTATTTTGTTTACCTGCATGTCATGTGACCATTAACCAACCTCTGAACATGCAAATGTGATAATTATTAAAATATTTATTTTAATATCTCAGGGGTAAAAGTTTGGGAATGCCTGCATTACATGTAAATAAGAAATAATGTGAATTTGTGCATTTTAATGTGTTTGAAAGACAAAAGCATTCAAAAGACATTGTAATAGATGGTTAAATAACCTACTGAGTGATAATTCAAATAAAAATGAATGTGTTCATCAGCAGTTGATGCAATGTTGAAACCCGAAATGATTTTTGTAAATCTTGTGCAGCCACCTGACTATTGACTGGCCTTTCTGTGAATGTCCACAAAACTGGAAGCCTTTATGAATATAAATAGTAGGCTATTTTAAAAGATGAAACAGTGGAATTAGGGAGAATCAATAAATTATGAATAATTTATTGCTATTGTGTGAATAATATGTAATCAATAAAAAAGTAGCTGTAGTACAAGTATTGTAAAATCTAATTACAAGTAATTACATTTTTGGAATCTGATTACATAATCCAGGTTACATGTAATCAGTTACTACCCAGCTCTGTGTGTATGTGTGTGTGTGTGTATGTATATATATATACTTTTGCCGAAAGCAAAATACTGATATAAAACATAAATACATAACAAATACCTGTAATAATACAAAAAAAAAAATCTTATGCCATACAAATATTTACTGGAAGGTAAATACAGATTAAAGAAAATGATTTTTTGCAATGTAATTGCAGTGAGGTCGCATTATCACAGAACAGCTTTCCTGCCGAATGGAGGCAGCGGAGGAGCGCGGGAGGGTGAGATGGAGGATAATGATGTGAGGTCAGGGAAGATGATGAAGGGATGAAAAAAATGAGTGTGACTAAGGATGAAAAACAGGGTGAGCTGGTTGAGGGCAGTGGAGATGAATGGAGTTGGTCTATAAGGGACTATAAGGACTTTAAACCTCTTTTCCAGCCTGCTCTTGATGGTGACCTTGAGTTGTGGGCTCAACAAAAGAGCGGGATAACTCAACGGGATATAAAATGGAAAAGGAGTGGCACACTCTGGATGCTCTATTTTGTCTTATTCTGTGTGTTTCTTCTAAAGTAATTACTTTAACCCTGCACGATGACCTAGCCAGATAGAATCAGACCCTTGTGGTCCTGGCCGATGCGAACTGATTGGTCAAATTAATGGCCCAGGGGAGAGAGCTTCACCTTAATGTGACTCTGTGTCGCTGTGCCCAGCCTAACACACACACATTACATGCAGGGCTGGGTGATTTACTGCTTTAAAAGATACTGGTAGGAATTTCTCAACTGGTATACATTTGAGTATTATGTCTATTACAATTGTGTAAAATGCTCCTTATTGGTGAAGAAAGCAAATGAAGAGCAGCTTGCTAAAAAAAAAAAAAAAAAAAACTGTGGGTATTGAAATGAGCATCTGCTAAGCCACACCCCCTTAGATACTGTTGCTATGCTCTGAGAAGCATTCGTACTATTGTGAATCAGACAAAAACATGCACAAATCACATTACACTGCAAAATCAAAGGACAAAATATGAAATTATATATTGCATAAAGAAAATAGAGACTTAAAATAAAAAAATATATTTGCAATGTGACAATTAACTATGAAAACCCTAAACAACTGATACTGCATGATGCAGCATCATAGCCTTTGTTGAACTGCCTTTAATTTAGGCAAAATAAATAAACAATTAAATAAATACAGTATTACAGTAATGAGAAATACCACAGAGAACATTAGCAATTACAAAATAAATGTAAAAACAGAATTTAAGGCAATAATGTACTTATTGTCATGAAAATAATGCAAGAAAGTAAAAAATTATAATAATCTGAATGGATCTAACACCAACTTTGCAAATGCAAAACACAGTTTCTTATTTAAATTATTTTAGTTCAAATGACATTTTGAGAATATAAACTCCATATTAACCTTAAATCCATGACATTACCTGATTATAGGCTTGACTTCTGTTTACATGTCTGTAACAGTTCAAGTAATCAGAAACGTTCACAATCACACTTCTCAGGTTGTCAGAACTCACATAAACAAACAGATGACGACTGATGGTAGTAATTAAATCAAGCATATGGCAGCCAGCTCAAACACAGCTGTGTGTGTGTGTGTGTGTGTGTGTGTGTGTGTGTGTGTGTGTGTGTGTGTGTGTGTGATCTCGGGGCAGTGCGATTCACACATTCATACAGGGTGTGGATTGAGTGTCAACGAGACAGAAGTGTGAAAGCGACACAATGTCTGAAACTGAAGTAATCTCACTCTCTAGACGAAATGCCTTGGCAAATATCCATTCGCTCACATCACCTGTTTCACTATCCGTAGTGTCATTCTGATGTCCAGGAAAGCTCTGAGGGGCCTTAAGATCATGTAGAGTGAGACTTGATTAAAATATGACTAAATGTCTCAGGAGAGAGACAGAAATAATGATGAAACTGCATATATACCGGTGCATCTCAATAAGTTAGAATGTCGTGGAAAAGTTAATTTATTTAATTTAATTTTTTTTTTAAATTCAATGCACTGAAGTAGTTTAAGTCTTTGGTTCTTTTAATTGTGATGATTTTGGCTCACATTTAACAAAAACCCACCAATTCACTATCTCAACAAATTAGAATATGGTGACATGCCAATCAGCTAATCAACTCAAAACACCTGCAAAGGTTTCCTGAGCCTTCAAAATGGTCTCTCAGTTTGGTTCACTAGGCTACACAAGCATGGGGAACCTTTTTTTTTCTTTTCTTTTTTTTTTTACAATATATAATACATTTATAAATTATAACTTTATCATTTATAATACTTTTATTCAGCAAGGATGTATTGAATTCAATAAGTAAAGATTTATAAATGTTACAAAAGATTTCGATTTCAAATCAATTCTGTTCTTCTGAACTTTATATATACAGTAAAATTTCTTGAAATAAAAAAGGTTTCCACAAAAATATAAAGCAGCACAATTGTTTTCAACATTGATAATTATCAATATAACTATTTCTAGAGCATCAAATCAACATATTAGAATGATTTCTGAAGGATCATGTGACTGAAGACTGGAGTAATGATGCTGAAAATTCAGCTTTGCATCACAGAAATAAATTACATTTTGCAATATATTCAAATAGAAAACAGTTATTCAAAAGTGAAATAATACTTCACAATATTACTGTTTTTACTGTATTTTTGATGAAATAAATGCAGCCTTGGTGAGCATAAGAGATTTTTGAACGGAATATATATATATATATATATATATACACACACATACAGGTATGTATTTAAAAAAAGTACACTAATTCATACACATTATAGAAAGAAATTATAATATCAATTTTGATATCAATTTTGATCCCTACTACTAAAAACAAAACAAAAACAAAGCTACAGTCTTAGATACATAAAAAATATAGAATGCTCATGAGAACAGATTACCACGGTGACGTGTCCCATACAGAAGGTAATTATTGCAGGATTATCAATCAAAGCACAGGCGTCGTAATAAGACAATAATGATGATCATTCCAGTCCCAAACACCATCGGTTTGGATATCGCTCTTCTTCAAGGCAAATGTCATGCCAACCTTTCCCTCGGCCATTAGAATGGCGTATAAAAGTCGCCCTATTTAAACGAAGCTAACTCATCTCATAAAAACTAATCCTCTAATAAAGGTAAACCTTAAGTCAATACACTGTCCAGCACTTCACAAATCACACTTCAGGGATGGTCAGTCTGCTCTCTTGAGGAAAAAATAAAAATACAAACATATCATAAAGGATCAAAATTGAATGATCTGAACTTAAACGTTTGCTACATACTGTAGAAAGAGGTCCAGTCTGTTCCAATTCAAAACACTTTATTTCAGACCATCAACTCTATCATCTCAGACTGGAATCAGACCTTTCATTTACTGTCTTCTCACAGCAGGAACGTCCAGAGACACAAAGCTGAGACATGTTTAATTACTGTCTTTTCTTTGTACAGAAGTTCTAGAGCAGGGATCCTCAAATCTGGCCCACGAGATCCACTTTCCTGCAGAGTTTAGCTCTATCCCTAATCAAACACACCTGAGCATGCTAATCAGTGTCTTCAGGATCATTAGAAAATCACAGGTAGCCGAGTTTGATCAGGGTTGGAGCTAAACTCTGCAGCGCATGGGACCTCCAGGGCAAGATTTGAGGAACCCTGTTCTAGAGTGACCGTTGAACTGTGTTTTTGATACTGACCTGGAAATCTTGTCTGTGCATGACATGGTGATGAGACGTTCTCCTTGAAGGACTCCGTCCCACGTCTGAACGGGACCTGTGGTCTTCACGGGCAGCGTACCCTCCCCCGATTCAATCTTTGTCCGAAGGTGGCTGTGAAACTTCTTCACCAAGTGTCTGTTGCTGTGCACTGCGGGGAAATCCGAAAAAAGTGTTGACATGATGCTCAATCTATTCATTTATTAAATGTATTATTTTATCATCAAATGTATTTCTTTATTTTTTTTTGTAAATCTAACAAATCCATTTGGGATTGAGGTATGTACTGTAGTTGGATAAAACAAAACAAAAAAATCTATTTTTCCATCTATTATTACGGATGTGGTAAAATTGGAATACTATTGGAGGAGAAAAGTGTAATGCTTGTTATAAATTGTTTACTCCTTATGTTGAAATTCACAATGTCAAATTCACAAACGTAAAATGTTAAAAACAGCACCCCAATTTAAATGAATAGTTCACCCCAATTTTTATTTCTTTGTTTATTTGTTCTGGAGAAAGCAATATTATGTATATTATATATAGAAATATGCAGCTTTTGGCTTCACAAGACATTAACTGATGGTCTGGAGTGGTGTGGATTACTTGTGGATTATTGTGATGTTTTTATCAGCTGTTTGGACTCTCATTCTGACGGCACCCATTCACTGATGAGCAAGTGATCTAATGATACATTTCTCCATATCTCAAACAAACTTTTCTATATCTTGGACGGCTTGAGGCTGAGTACATTTTCAGCAAATTTTCATTTAACTATAAATCAATTTGGTGTTTGCAAACAGTGATGACGTTTTTTGTGGGCGGAGCCTATCTGGTGGCAGAAAATGACAGTTTTAAAGTAGCGGTCTATGGAAGCCATGAAATAAAATAATTTTAAGGTAAATATTTCAAAATTCTGACTTTTTTCTCGCTACTACTCTCGTCATTCACTCTTTCCCCCTCAGTTCAGAATCATGAGTTTATAATCCCACACTTCTGGCTTTTTTTTTTTTTTTCTCAAAATTGACAAACTTACAAAATTGTTAAATTAAGAGTTAAATTAAGTTATAAAGTCCGAACTAGGAGATAAACTTGCAGTGCAAGTGATGTAACTGTGACGTCTACTCCAAATTGGGCTATTCCTTTAATGTTATTAAAAAGGATCTAGAGTTCTTAAAAATGACGAAAAATTTCAGTATAAAGCTAAGAAATCACATGATTTGTTTAACCATTATGGTTCTGTTTAACTCCCTACCATTTATGAGTATATGACTTATTTCCGTGTGATTTATATTTTCCACATGTTTGCCAACAAATAACTGAACTTGACTGCACTCACAAGTATTTAAGGTGCAAGGAAAATATGTTGCACCACATGACATTTTTAGTCATTAAATGTATTTTTTTTTCTTAAAGTTTGGATTAAGTTATAAAACCCCCTGAAACCGAACTTGACACATATAGTATGTAGCATTTGGACACTTTAAAAAGTCTGTATTAGACACATAATATAGAAGCAAGCAGAAGAGATGATACAGACAAGCGAAGAGTCTTACAATCGGAGGTGATTTCATAGGGCGAGTTGACACGGGCGTCCCCGCAGGGCGACGTACTGATGTACATGTGGAAGAGGACGTTCTCTCGGAGTCTCAAACAGGAATCTTTGTGCCGTACGAAGATCGATTGCTCCCAGTCCTCTTTCCTTTTGCTTCAGAGTGATCACAGACCGCAGGCGGGAAGAGAGAACAGAAAAGGGAGACATGAGAAACAACCACATCTGAAAGCGTTCGGCGCTCACATCCCGGGCTAATAATGGGCCGAGGACACAAAGGAGACAAATATTGGCCTTCCCGCGACCAAGGCTAGTTCCATCACTGTCACCTTCCCCTCTCGCGCGCTCCTTCTCTCTCTGGTGCACAATCTCAAATCACTACTCTGCCAGAACAAGGCGAATACAAATGACCGAGACAACAGCGAGCTGTAATTCTTTAACCCAGATGATCTGTAGCTAGTCAGCTGTAGGGAGGACACGACGTTTCCTGCAGAGCCGCCCCACTTTTACACATATCATCGTAATTAGCACTAACGCCTCACTGTGATATCTTACAAAAGACGTTTCGGAATAGTGCACGATGTGAACGTTGCACGGGGAGCGCATTACATACGCAAACATCATCGTCGCTAATTGGCACCTAAGCTGTGCTAATTACGCAAATGACCTCCGATGTCATGGGTGGAGTCGCGCTGCTCCAGATCTGTCTACTGAGGAAGGTGCTGATGGTATTTTATTTGCCGAACATAATGACTTATCTTCCAAACTAGACTCCAGACTCAGCCAAACGGGCCCATTTAGTTGCAGATAATGCACCCTGGGAAGACGCATATGCAAATATGACATTACAGGAGGCTTTTCTATGCAGCAATCTGCTGCAACGAGGAAGACATTTAGAGTGTGCCGCACAGTGATACCTCCAACACCACACCAGACTCAAATGATAATGTGCTTTCGCAATGAACGAAACTCCTTTGTTGGGTGTGAAATGTGCTTCACTGAGAAACTGTGTTGTTTGCTTAAAGCTCTAAGGGAGTTTTCAGGTTCAATATGACATGCTGTTGATTAGAGCAGAAAATAATTTCAACTCGGTGTGAAAAAATGAGCAAATATCTTGTTTACACTAATGCACTTACTATGGAAGTTAATGGGTTAAAGATTAACTTGCTGTGGAAGCCCACCCAAATAAGAAAAAGGTAATTGTGACCCTATATCTTACAATAATGACTAGATTTTTTGTAATTGTGACTTTATATCTCCTAATTGTGACTTTATATTAGTGGCGTTCCGTCCATATAAGCTGCGAACGCTCCGCATACCCAGGCCATTTGAGAGAATAAGTTCACGGGATAATTCATATAAACATGATTATAAGTTGATCCCTTGTCATTTGAAATGTAACTTAAAGCCTAAAGAGTTAGGAATAAGTACGTACAATGATTTGTTTGCCAAACGGCAGTAATCTTCTTTAAATCTACCACTTGCGGTTGCTTCTGGGATTCTCTGCAGCTTTCTCGCCTCCGCTCTGTTGCTACGAGTCGTCAGGATTGTAGCGCGTTCTCAGTGGTTTGCTGGTCTGTGGCTGATTTCATGCGCGAGGTAAGCTGTCCGCAAAGCACTCACTCAAGCAGAAAAATGTGCTGTTGCTGTCAGATCTCGACTGCCGAAAATCGCATTGTGTTTGATGCAAAACCAACTCGACTAAATCAAAAGAAAAAAAAACACTGTAACTGTATATTTTTGTTTTCTCAAGCAAAGCAAATTTTAAAAGTCCACTGAAAACATATCTTCTAACATTTTTGGTCATAGACAACGTATGTTGAAGATATACATTATTGTCAACGTTATTGCCTAAGCGGTAAATTAATTTTTCTTTAATTTATGTTTAGAAAACATAATATATTGTATATAGTATATGGGCTATATACAATTTTAATAATAACACAAATCATATTGTTCCCTTTGTTTTGCGTATGCTCGTGTAGCTTACAGTTAAAGTCCTTCTCTGATTTTATTCAACGTTACTTTGCAATATTTTAAATATTTTTGGGGGTATTTTGCATGGTCTGTTATTGGAGTAGTATCACCCGGGTGGGAGTTTTAACTCCTATTCACTGCGAATAAAAAAATTATTTAGCAGATGCAGAGACATACAGACCGGGGGAATCTCCCCACCCTCTGATTACGTATCATAACGTAACTCCGTGTAAACGTTATTTGGCGGTTTTTACTTGGAAAACCAGCTATATTTTTCTTGCATTTGAATAATGGATAAACTTGAAACGATAGAAGAAGGATTTGAGATGAATTTCATTTACAAATAAGGTAGGAAATGTGCATACTTTTAAATCGACACCTGCCACGGTTTCTCTTAGCTATTTGTCATCTGTGATCCCTTTTGAGTGTCCTAAAAGCCTAAAAAGTCACCGCTCACCACTGCTTTATAAATCGTTTTGTTTCTCTTAATTGCAACTTTACATTCTCTTAGCTATTTGTCATCTGTGATCCCTTTTGAGTGTCCTAAAAGCCTAAAAAGTCACCGCTCACCACTGCTTTATAAATCGTTTTGTTTCTCTTAATTGCAACTTTACATCTCACAATGTGGCTTTTGTTACAATGTTACTTTAGATCGCACAATTGTGTCATTATAACTCTAATAATATCACTTTATATCTCGCAATGCGACTTTAAATCTCAAAACTGTGATTGTTTCTCGAAATTGCAACTTCACGACTCACAATGTCACTTTAAACACGATGTTACTTAATATCTCACAAATGTGAATTCATTAATATAATTTTATATATCTGCGTGTGACTTTAAATCTTCTAACTTTATATCTCCCAATTGTCACTTTATATATATATATATATATATATATATAGGATCAAACTGAAAAAAGTACACCCCTCACCACCACTGCTTTATAAATCGTTTTGTTTCTCTTAATTGCAACTTTACATCTCACAATGTGGCTTTTGTTACAATGTTACTTTATATCGCACAATTGTGTCATTATAACTCTAATAATATCACTTTATATCTCGCAATGCGACTTTAAATCTCAAAACTGTGATTGTTTCTCGAAATTGCAACTTCACGACTCACAATGTCACTTTAAACACGATGTTACTTAATATCTCACAAATGTGAATTCATTAATATAATTTTATATATCTGCGTGTGACTTTAAATCTTCTAACTTTATATCTCCCAATTGTCACTTTATATATATATATATATATATATATATAGGATCAAACTGAAAAAAAAGGATCAATGAAAGAAAGAAAAAAAAAATATATATATTTTTTTAATCCTTTTCAGTAGGACTTAAGTATGTCTTTATATATAATTTCTTAATTACTTCAAGGTAGCATTTTTTTTTTTGTGCAGAAAAAAAGTGTTATAGCAAAAAATACAAGCTGCACATTTCTACTTGTCTTCCAATGTAAGTGCATTACCATGAATGAGATTTCGCTTCTTTTTACAAACCGATAGACAAGTTGAAGTTGTTTTCTGTGATATTTGAACATGCTTCACATGCTTACAGAGTTGAACTAAACCCGGAATATTCCTTTAATGTGTTTTAGGCAAACTTAATGCATCATAATAAATCACTTCATTTGTGCATCTATACATCATACTGTTCTCTTGCATGCAGCTTCTTTTCATTCCTCATGTCATTTTTTAATGCTGTTTCTTTGAAAAGTACAATCTATTTTGCTTCGTGCATCATAATTTAGCAATTTGCACAGTGAAGCTACTGTATTTTGTGCGTGTGTGTGTGTGTTGGGTTTATTCAGCTTGCATTGGGTACAAGTTTGTCTTCAGAAGTTAGCTAAATCTGACAAACCCTCCCATTGGGAGCATCCTCACAAGGACAAAATCACTCATAAATAAAAGAAGTGTTTTCTTTACGGCATAGGGGTAGGGTTTGGGTTAGTGCTAATAATTATGTAGACTTTGTATAAATAGTCAAATGTAAATGTGTGTCATTTACCTGAGGTGTAACTCTAGTTGAGAGTACAGGAAGCGCAGCAGGGCTCGTCTGGTTGTGATTTCAGAGTGACAATCGTTGACCGCCAGACCCTGGTCACTGATATATTCTCCATTAATGCATTTAGTGCCGGTCGATAGCGCCACCACTTGGGCCTGTCTCAGATCCAGACCTGATGAGCAGAAACACACAAACACATATGACAGCTTCATAATATTGAATCAGACAGCAAACATAGGCCCGTTCACACCAAGAACGATAGATAACTATAGCGATAACTATATTAGCGTCCACACCACTGAAAGATAATATTCTGTTTATTATAAGCGCACACAGCAGTTTTGTCATCTGACACTTTAAATGCACAAGCCAGTTAATGAAGGATGGATTCTGATTGGCTGTCAATGTTTTGAAAAAAATGAAAAAAAAGTGATTCCATTCTAGATCGTTATGGTGTGAACTTCCAGAATTTAAATGATTATTAAAGCTTGTTTATCGTTATCATTCTTGGTGTGAACAGGCCTAGTGTTGTCCTAAATTTAACATGTGAAGAACCATTAGCCAGTCATAACAGAGGTCATTTATGTACAGATGTCTTAAAAGTAAACGGTTTCAATAAATAAATAAAAAATTGTAAATAAAACAAAGATTACTGGAGCAAATTTGACAAGAAAATGTTATTTCAATCTGTCTACTTCGTAATTATTTGTGAAATTTATTAGCAATTTCTGAGAGAAAATCAATTCTAAGAGGCACTAAAGTTTGGGGTTAGGAATTTTTTAAAACATTTTTTGCATTAAATTAATCAAAAGTGAGAGTAAAGATATTTATAATGTTACAAAAGATGTACTTTTGAACTTTTTATTTATTAAAGAAAAAATGTAATGTATTCCACAGAAAAATTAAGCAGCACAACTGTTTTCAATACTGATAATAATAAAGGTTCTGCATCAAATCAACATCAAATCAGCATATTATAATGATTTCTGAAGATCATGTGACACTGAAGACTGGAGTAATGATGCTGAAAATACAGCTTTGATCCCAGGAATAAATTCAAATTTTATAAAATATTTAAATCAAAAACAGTTTTTTTTACTGTATTCTGTATTTATATCGGCCAAGCATTCGTCATCTGTATGTGTATACTTGCATCAAGGCTTCAGGGACAGAGAGAAAATGAAAAAATGATCATGTAAAACCAAATTGTAACCATTTTTGGTGGAAGAAAAATACAAAAAAATTGAATATGTATGATGTAACTTAAAAAAAAAAAGCAGCATGCACAAGGTTTTTATCAAGACAGATACAACTATACATTCTGCTGTAGTCCACAATAAAAGCTGTTCTTTGCTGATGTTCTTTACACAAGGACGAGTAACTCCTAACTTGCTGCGGCCGCGCTGGTCATCAGTGCACAAAGCTTTTCTGTGACATTTTCATCAGCCACAGCGAGACGAAACCCACAACTCCGGCACAAAGCATCTCCACCTGCCACGACCCACTGTACCTGTCTCACAGCTGCTCGGCCACGATACGGCCCCGGTAGGAGGACAGAGGCTTTGCTGGGATTTCTGCACTGAGAACAGCTCAAGCGTGTGAGCGGATGTCTCAGCAAGCTTAACCATAAAGCTCTATGTGCTGGAAAAAATATATATATCTCCCCATCGCTTCAAAAATTTAGTGTTCACTGCCTCATGTAGACCTGCAGGCTAGAGGCAACATATGAGCTTTTATCAGTCGGGGCCCAGACGGAATTGCACGCCGTGGCCCGGCCACCACCAGCGCGGCTGGCTGGCAATAACAATAATAAAAACTAATATTGAGGTGGGGTTAAAGGCATAGCCTTTGAAATCCATTCTTCCACCTTTCATTGCTTGCTGAACCAAGAGAGAGAGAGAGAGAGACGAGAGATCGTGAGAAGAGGAGAAATAGATGAAACTCGAGTCAGAAAAAGAGAGACTGGGTCTTACGGAACCATAAGTCCAGATTGAAGTCAATAGCTCATTTTTTCATACTTGTTGAAATGAGGTTTACTGGACGTTTTAACTGTGAAACACTGCGTGCATTCATATAAACTGTGAGTTTAAAAGGTTATTTCATTCATAAACTCATATTCTGTCAAGCATTTATTCAACCTCACGGCATTCCAAGGACATATGCCTTACTTTCTTCTGGAAAACAACAAAAAAAGAGAACTTTAGCAGAGTGTCCATGAGCTCGGGGATGTCGAGCAAAAAGAAAGAAAGAAAACAGCCATATAAAACACCATATATATTTCTTAAACTGTGAATACACGGGAGGTTTTAAATCTATTTTTCAAGTTTTTTTTAATCATAAATATCGAATATCATAAATAATTTCAGAATTGCACCACCCTGTCTTGTCATAAAAAGGTCAAATGATCTGCTATTTTAAGAGACTTATTGGCCTTTTTGATATCACTTCCTGTATTATTTATTATGTTTGTTTCTGAATGCAAATTATAACGCAAGATTTACACATATCACAATTCAAAAGCTTGTAATCAGATTTTTTAAGAAGTTAATTTTATTCAGCAAGGATGCATTTAACTGATCAAAAGTGACAGTAAAGACGTCTATGATATTATAAAAGATTTCTATTTCAAATAAATGCTGTTCTTTTAAACTTATTTTTCATCAAAATATACAATAAAATAAAATATAAAAAACAAAAATATGAAGCAGCACAACTGTTTTCAACAATGATAATAATCAGAAATGTCTCTTGAGCATCAAATCAGCATATTAGAATGATTTCTGAAGATCATGTGACACTGAAGACTGGAGTAATGATGCTGAAAATACAGCTTTATTGAATGATATAAATATGTAATCAATTACAAAATATAAAAAATGTGTTTTATTTGTCATTTTTATAACATTCTTCAAAATATCTCCTTGCTGACAGAATTTTCATTTGCATGAGAACACATTCCTGATAAATAAAGCATTACAGCATATTTTTGACAATAATGACAGCATTATTGTTGCATGTAACATGCAGAGAGGGAAAAGAGATTCCCGGTACTCCAGGAAAAATAAATCCTTGTGGAATGCAATGCAGCTGCCCAGCACAAAACCATCACAGTGAGTTATGGTCTTCTTTTCGCACACCATTATATGAACTCAAACGTCCCAAATGTTCCTCTGAAGACAAATGCCAGCTGGTTCTGCTTCAGTCTCCACCTGCCTTACCTGATCTATCCCAGCATGCACTGGTACAGTGCACAGCAGCCCAGGTTTTGTGTTCAGGCACCTTTATTCAACAATCCCCAAAAGCAAAAACACTTTAGAAAAATATGTAAGTTAAAAGGCCCCAACCACCTCACCCTCCCAGCCTGTTCTCTCCATGCTGTTCCATTTAATGATAGTTTAGATCAATCTGGCGATGGCAGAGAGAAAGAAAAGAGAGTGTGTAGTAACTTCTCTCTGTATCGGCATGAAATTGTTGTAAAGGCTCTTCTCTCGGTGTGAGGGGGTGGTGAGGCCTGTGGGCACTGCTGCTTTTAGAAGAGCAATAATCATCAACATCTCTGAGAAAGCACATTGTGCCAGTGAGGTGGGTACAAAGGCAAACACCCTGGATGTGAACATGACTGCCGTTCTCTCTACCCTTCAGCAGACCGCTGTGTAAAGGACAGGAAAGAGAACATCACAGTATCAAAGGCATGTGTGCGAAAAGACACGCACTACAGGAACTCACAGCACGCTATACATGCTTTAAAAATAGTTCACCAAAAAAAAAAAAACACTTGCTGAACATTTACTCACCCTCAGACCAACCGAAATTGAATTTGTTTCTTCATCGGAACAGATTTGGAGAAATGTAGCATTGCATCACTTGCTCACCAATGGATCCTCGGCAGTGAATGGGTGCCGTCAGAATGAGAGTCCAAACAGCTGATAAAAACCACAATAATCCACAAGTAATCCACACCACTACAACCCATCAGTTAGTGTCTTGTGAAGCGAAAAGCTGCAAGTTTGTAAGGACCAAATCCATCAATAAGACATTTTTAACTTCAAACCATTGAAATAAGAGTTCCCTATCCATAACATTGCATTCTCTAGTGAAAAAGTCATCTCATTTGAATCAGGAGAGAAAGAAGCACAGATGAGGTATCATTTACAAGCTAAAACAGTTCTAAACAAATATTTAGGTGATTTTTGATGTGAGAAGACTTTTTGTTTTACTGGAGGAAGTGTTATTATGGATTATGGACTCATATTTTGGCAGGAAGTGACAGTTTAGACAGGTAAAAACATCTTAAACATCTTTAAAAAATATGCAGCTTTTCACTTCACAAGACATTAATTGATGGTCTGGAGTGGTGTGGATTACTTGTGGATTATTGTGAGGTTTTTATCAGCTGTTTGGACTCTCATTCTGACGGCACCCATTCACTGCAGAGCATCCATTGGTGAACAAGTGATGTAATGCTACATGTCTCCAAATCTGACGAAGAAACTAACTCATCTGCATCTTGGATAGCCTGATGAGTACATTTTACATTTAATTTTTTTTAAATTTAGGTCAGAAAAATATTTTTTTTTCTTTTTAAACGTGACAGTTTATTGAACCTTTAGACAACATATTCCCCCCAAAAAGTTTTTTTTTCATATTTGAGGCATAAGTCTTTTATGTAGAATGAGCTCATAATCAAGGAGATAAAATCATTATATATATATATATATATATATATATATATATATATAATATGTCCAAAGAGTAAGATTAAATTCTGATAACTTGCAATGTAAATGAGTGAGATCTTTATGGCAGAATAGCAGACTACATAAAATAGTGAACTTGATATATGAAAAAAGCAACAAGAATTCTTGTAATAGCAACAGGCAACACGATTCTTATAATTTAACAAAAATACAGACGCAGAGGCAAGACTACAACAGACACTGCTTTACTGTCATGAGACTCCACACCAGATTGTACCTCTTCGTGGAAAGTGGCGTATTCAGTGCAGTATTCAGTAAGTGGTGAGTGAGTATTCCACTGTGAACACAGCCACTGTCTGTGCAAGACACTATTAAACAAAGTGACGTGACATGTGGCCAAGTATGGTGACCCATACTAGGAATTAGTGCTCTGCATTTACCCATCCAAAGTGCACACACACAGCAGTGAACACACACACACACACACCGTGAACACACACCCGGAGCAGTGGGCAGCCATTTATGCTGCGGCGCCCGGGGAGCAGTTGGGGGTTCGGTGCCTTGCTCAAGTGCACCTCAGTCGTGGTATTGAAGGTGGGAGAGAGCGCTGTACATTCACTCCCCCCACCTACAATCCCTGCCGGTACGAGACTCAAACCCGCAACCTTTGGGTTACGAGTCCGACTCTCTAACCATTAGGCCACGACTTCCCCTTAATCAGCACATGGGTCACTCTAGCGGAGGTCTGACAGGGGAAAACCCATATACTGATATGAGTTTAATAAGCATTGTTAGCCCCGCATTTCCTAAATGAGTTTTGTTTCACAAAACAAGGAAAGAATGCAGTTCATGAGCTCCTTTATGAGCCATCAAATCATAAGGAATCATTAGTTGGGGTTTTATGCATCCTCTGCTTTGGGAGGTCTAGGAAAGGCCATATTGGATTGGCTAGAAAGGACACTGTATTTTGGTAAAAAAAATTAAAATACAGAAAGCGATTATTTATGAAAATTGATGAATTTGCATGAAACTTATTTTCTTCAGGGGTAAAGCAAATGGCCGAGGTCATCGTCTACCAAGTCATTTGCATGCCATTAGGAACAAAGAGGCTCATGAATTGATCCTTTACAAGTTACTCTTGCATGATAACATGTTTGAATATTAAATAAGGTCAAAACGGTGCACATCATCACCATTACAAACTATTTTCCAGAGATATGAAATGGAAACCTTTGAGCAAATATTGCATGCTTATATAAAATGATATGCTTAGAGAATGAGCTTTATCTACAAAAAGACACTAAATAAGTATTATCATTGTCAAATATAGAATCTGATTTTCTCCCTCATTTTAATTCAAATTTTAGTTAGTTTTAGTAATTTTGTTGTGCTTTTGTATATATATATATATATATATATATATATATAATTTTTATCACAGTTTTTGTTTTATTTTAGTATATCAATTTAAACTTAATTAAAATGAGAAATGCACAAATTCATTATATTTATTTGACTTAATTTCAGTTATTATTTATTTCAAGTAAGGAAACTGGAAAATGTTAATGCTTTTAGATAATTATAGTTAAGTTAATTATAATTCATTATAATATCCTTGTTGTGGACTACAAAAAAAAAGAACCATCACTTGTGTTCAAAACTTAAACTTAAAAATGGTTTCAAGTTAAAAGAGTAAGTGCTTGCCTTGAAATTTTAAGTTTAGTCAACTCAAATATCCAAGTAGTCCCTTAGTACAATTTAATATTTCAAGTTGACTAAACTTGACATTTTAAAGCAGCACAAACACTTACTTTGTTACCTTTTTTTTTTTTTTTGCATTGAACTGTTAAAAAAGTTGTAATTTAAAGTTGTAAAAGTTGCATTTACATGAACATCTAGGAAAAGCACTGTGATTTATGAATTGGCAAATGCTGACCAGGGAGTAACATATTGTTGTATACATAACTATAACCTAATTTTAAGAATATAACCTTTCAGAACCTTGGTTGAGATTAATATGCATTTTTTTCACCACTGGAAATGTTTTTCTTTCCACTCCCAAACTGCTCTAAACACAATCATCTGTTCTCCAAATGGAAGTAGACACGTCTGGTTCCCTTAACC